TTAGTTGGCTGTAATATTCTATTCAGAAACTATAAGCCTTGTTTAAGAAGTCGTGATTAAACACCCAGTTCTTTAGCGAAACAGAGTTGTAATTGTGATTTCTTGATGTATATTATTGGTTATAAATGTATTTGGGCTCTACGTATATATTTTAGGGAATGAGGACATGCAGATTGTGTGAATTAGATAAGATTTCATTGGTGTGGTCGGGGGCGGAGTCTGTGAGTGGCGCATAGTTATAAGGGTAACAGCGTCCGTCTAAAACACCAACACAGAGTGTAGCGGATGCGACAAGCCAGCGGGGATGGTTTTATCTTGCTCAGTGTTTTTACGGTACCTTGTTGAGCCCCTTGCCCCGGTGTACATGTTGGGTTATGCTCACTTTATGGGTAAGAGTTATGGTTGTGGAGTGGTTATCTGGATGTGGGGGGTTGTAAAAAGTATTCTTGAAGAAGCCAGTGATGACTATATTTCAAGATGAGTAAAAGAGTCAGTAAAGTCATACTAAAGTCATCATGGCCAATTTTTGAAATAGCAGTACCGAAGATAGACGAAGACTACAAATAACTTCATTCATAGGTACAAATGATTTGTTATTTGTCTGAATTCATAAGGAAATATAATCAGACCTATATTACTGTTTGCTACAATATAAACATAAAAGTTTAAACATAAAATCTTCATTATGTAAAAATATTCAGGTAAATTCATTTAGTAAAAAATTTATCTGCCAAGTTTACGGAAATGTGAAATTTTGGTGATAGGTATATGGAAGTTTGTTGTGATAGTGTCTCTACTTCTGTATATGTTTCAAAAAAATCATAATAAATATTTTTTTAAAGCAAAGCATCATTTAAGTGAAAATGGTTTTCAATCTTCCAAAAACACAATGAACTGGAAAATTGATCCAAATATTTATTTGTTATATAAAGACTGTATTAAAATCCTGCAAAGTAAAAGAAAGCAGGCTATATTTGGGGAATAATAAATAGTTCAGCATTGCCAGGACATTAAGTAGGTATGTAGGGGTGAGGAGAAAATCCTGAAAAAATGTGGAAATAAATCTAGATAATGAAAGTGAGAGGTCCAGAGATCTAAGTTCAGTCAAATCCAAGTTATGTCAGATATGATTGAAATCTGACAGAATATTGCAGGAAGGAATTGCGTATACCTGCTCCATTTAAGATTAAAGAAATACAACCATGTGTTTTATACAGAGCTATATCTAAATAAAGTGCCTCCAAAGTCTTTAACAGTGATAATTGAGGACCCAGTACTATAAGGCGATTCAATGATGAAAAACAGGTATTGCACCCAGCCTCTTGGATCTATAGTGTAACTGAAATTAGAGTTCAACAAAGTGAAGTAGAAGAGACACATGGATGCCCATAAAAGCAAAGACTTTCCTCGGGGGAGAACAGGATTTGCACATGAGCACCATAGCATGGTCAGATTTTCATATATTTATTTTGACAGGATTTATTCTAGTCGTTCATTCACTATTCAAAAAGATCATAAAATGAATTTTACTGTCTTATTTTTTAAAATAGTTTTTAGCTGTTGTCTTTAGTCTGCTTGGGCTGCCATAACAAAATACCACCGACTGGGTGACTTAAACAACAGAAATTTATCTTCTGATGGTTCTAGAAGCTGTAAGTTCAAGGTCAAGGTGCTAGAAGTGGCTGTTTCTGTTGAGGCCTCTCACATTGGCATGCAGATGGCTACCTTCTCACCGTATCTGCTCGTGCCCCTTCCTCTGTGTGCACACTCCTGATGTCTCTCCCTCTTCTTACAAGGACATTAGTCCTATTGGATTAGGGTCCCACCCTTATGACTCTTTTAACCTTATTTACCTCCTTAAAGGCCCTGTCTCCAAATATGGTCACATTGGGGATTAGGACTTCCAAATGCGAATTTTAAGGGTACATAAGTCAGTCCATACTAGCTTTCAAGCATTAAAGGTCCTCCATTTAAAAGTTGTAATTGGGGCCGGGCACAGTGGCTCACGCCTGTAATCCCAGCACTCTGGGAAGCCAAGGCGGGCAGATCACTTGAGGCCAGGAGTTTGAGAACAACCTGGCCAATATGATGAAACCCCATCTCTACTAAAAATACAAAAATTAGCCAGCATGGTGGCACATGCCTGTAGTCCCAGCTACTCAGGAGGCTGAGGCAGGAGAATCGCTTAAACCTGAGAGGTCGAGGTTGCAGTGAGCTGAGATCGCACCACTGCACTCCAGCCTGGATGACGGAGCAAGACTCTGTCTGAAAAAAAAAAAAATGGCCGGGCGCGGTGGCTCAAGCCTGTAATCCCAGCACTTTGGGAGGCCAAGACGGGCAGATCACGAGGTCAGGAAATCGAGACCATCCTGGCTAACACGGTGAAACCCCCTAGCCGGGTGAGGTGGCGGGCGCCTGTAGTCCCAGCTACTCGGGAGGCTGAGGCAGGAGAATGGCGTGAACCCGGGAGGCGGAGCTTGCAGTGAGCTGAGATCCGGCCACTGCACTCCAGCCTGGGCGACAGAGCGAGACTCCGTCTCAAAAAAAGAAAAAAAAAAGAAAAAAAAAAGTTTTAATTGGACATATACGCCAAAAGCTAGGTTAATGGGTACAAAAACATAGTTTGCAAAAGACCTAGTATTTGGTAGGACAACACGATGATTAGAGTCAAAAATAAATTAATTGTACATTAAAAATATCTAAAAGAGTGTAATTGGATTGTTTGTAACACAAAGAATAAATGCCTAATGGAATGGATATCCCATTTAGCTTGATGTAATTGTTATGCATTGCATGCCTGTATCAAAATATCTCATGTACCCCAGAAGTATATACACCTACTGTGCACATACAAAAATTAAACATAAATAAAAAACAAACAGAAGAAAAAGCTAGGAAAAAGTATGAAGAGTGATAAGAGGATAGAATTTAAATAGTAAAATAAATAATTTTTGAGTTTTAGAATTAGATCAAATTCATCCAGCCACCCACAGAAGGCACTGCTCTCAGTGCGTGGAGGGGAGAGATTGAAGAGCATGTGCATGAGTATACGTGCTTGCATTTAGTCCTTATCAGCTGCTCCTCCTGTCTTCAATTACTTTGTACTTAGAAAGTCTCTTATAAATGTGCATAAATCTTTTATATAATTTTACTAAATATATATTTTCACATTAAAGTTGGAGAAAAAAGACTAAAATATAGAGTGTTAAAAATTACCAAAGAGAGTATAACTTTGAAAAGATTATAATAGTATTTAATTCATAATTTTGCCTCTGTTATACCCTGTCTAAAGATATGAATTTAGATTTCAGAATAAATATTTAATGTTATCTTTCATTTTGGGATATGGTTGAGCCAATAGTAAAATATGATATGTATTTTTTACTCTTTAGAATTCATTTATTTCACAATACAGTTTTAGGTGTTTAGGGAGGTACATTAACTCATTCATACCACGAAGCAGGAGAGTAAAGTCTCATTTATTTGTTCCTTACCAAGCCATGGTGCTGTGCTGATGGTTTTATTTGTTCCATGGTATTGTTTCTTTTTTTTTTTTTTAAACTCAGTTTGCTAATTTACTTTTGTGAAAACCTATTATAGGAATGCTTAAGATATTAATACTTAAAACTGTTTCATGAACATCAAATGAATTAAATTCTATAATTACAACATTCATATCTACTTCTACAACTATGTCATGAAAGATGTCTGTACTTGGAAGTAACAAATCCAGATTTCAGTTAAAATGCTTTGTATTCCATAGTTTTTATTAACTTATACGATTTCTATTAAGATTATCTATTAATAATTCAGTGAGATTGAAATACACATTGCTATACTACTAAAATGGAAGATATAATTCCTTTTTAGATTTTGCTCCATACACTGTATTAATTTATAAATTTGAAATATAGATATATATTTAAATGTCTTCTGTGAATAATAGGAAATTTCTGTATAAACTTGCACTGTTCTCCCTGTTTGAATACAAATTACTTTTGGTAAAATACAAAAGCTGTCCATTGGTAGAAACAGCTCTTGCCAATTTGCCTCTAGGAATTATTTCTCTTTCAATGTGATTTATTTGGCACCAAGCAGTCCCAGGAGTAGCACTCTGCTCAGATTTTGATCAGAGATGCAAACTGGAATTTCTGGGCACTCTTTGGATTTCCTAGGTATGATATGATGTAGTTAGAGTATCATTAAATGACCATTTGATCTTTTAAAATAAAATTAAGCTTTTTTCTCAATTCAAGGGGACTTATCAACAAAGAAAATATTCCTTCTGGGTTCAACCACCTTGATGATTGTATTTTGAATACTCAGGAAGTTGAAAAAGTACACGAAAATACTTCTGGTTGTGTTGGAGAAAGGAGCAAACCTAAACGTCAGAAATCCAGTACTAAACTTTCTGAGCTCCATGACAATCAAGATGGTCTTGTGGTAAGTGAATATGTCTATAAAATTTTACTTGTTAGGAAATATTACATCTCTTTTCTTTGCTTTGTAAAAAAATTAAAAGTAATTTCAGTCTTCAGTTTTATAACATTATAGAATATGAGTTCTGGAAGAGACCTTAGAGCTACTAAGTATATATATATTTGTATTTCTTTTTAATGAATACAAAAATTAAGGCTGAGAAATATTATGTTCTACAGAGGAACAAGAGACACCACACACTCTGATTTCCATTGGGTTTTTTCTCATTTTTTTCAAGCATTTTTAAATTTTGTTTTTGAAATAAAATTGCCCATAAAGCATTTTTTCTTCTTTTTCCCCATTCTATTTGTTCTTGTCTAAATGAATATGTTTTATAAATTAATGAATGAACTTAAAGCAAGGTGAAATGCACAGTGAAAGAGGATCAGCTATCTTCGTGTTCAGATACCTCTTCGTGTTCAGAAATTTCATTTCAAATCTATACTCTTTTAAAGTATTTTTTCCAAGTTAATCAGAAACAAAAAGAAACTAATCCCTACGTAGTTGCCTCAGACCTGAATCTTGGATCATTAATTCAATACATAGTATACGTTTTTACAAGTGGTTTAATCAATGGCTAAATATTTGTTCAGTGTAACTATTAACATTCATCATCCTTCTTCCTTTATGCCTTAGTTTCTCTGAAAAATAAGCAACAAAGTCTATCCCTTTAGTTAAAAAAAACGACAAAGCCAAAAACCTGGAGATAAATGTTATAACGTGACAGGAACTGGAATCCCTAATGAAAACAGACAATATCCTCTCTTACTGTTTGGTGTGCACATCCTCTGAAGTACTTTGTCTCTGACCAGTTCTTAGCTCCATGCTGTGTTTTTCATACATTCAATAAAATTCACGGGCCACCTATTTTCTCATTGTCAATTTCTGCATGTGCTCGGAGAAGATTTCTAATTTTTCCATAAGTAAAATATACATAAATGCAAGTCTAGGATTGTTTCCCCCATAATGTCTCAATGCATGGTTTCTGGAAGTAAACTGATCAGCTAGAATGGACAGAAGTAATCATCTACCTCAGACTTATGTCTGGTACAATTCTCAAAATAAAGAATTTAAAGTTTGGAATCATGACACACTTTTTGAACCCTGATAATTTCGTTTTTGTTGTTAAAAGTAAATATTTAAATAAAATAAATGTTATTAACGTCATTAGCTCTCTATTTGGCCCATGATTTGCTTATCTGCCAAAGAGATATCTGGTGACTGGAAGTCTGAGACTTGGCTTTATAGTGTGAAAAGAAGCTATGAAGCAGGCTTCTCAGTTTGAATCCCTTTTTACGTTCATTTAACCCATTAATTTTTTCCACCAGGAATAGTATCATAAGTTAGTTAGATGGTAATAGTTAATAGATGGGGAAAAGTACATATACTCCTTAGAATATGTGTTTACTGATAAAACTATGGACATGGTCTGTGCTGAAAAACATTGGGATGGAAGATCTTAATTCCATTTGGGGTTTTTTATGTGAAAGAACTTGCCCCTACCTCAGTTGCCAGTTTCCCCATTCCAGGATTGTGCCTGTCACATGTGAGCTCAGTGGACCATGTCTTTGTTGCAATGAATAACTTAAAACCCTGCCAATACAACTTAGAAGAAAAACTTCCTCATCTCTAAAGTGAGGGTGTTCTCAAAGATGTTTTCCAATTCTTATATTCCATGAATTTAAACATCTAATCTTCTCAAGTAACCACAAAGCAAAGAGCCAGGGAATACAACAAAGACTAGTGTTAAGACTACATCCTGAAAGTTAAGTTATGTATCTTCACTTCCCCCTTATTTTTAACCTTCTAATTCTACTTTCCCCAACTCTCCTCCAAAACCTTTCCCTAGCCCATTTTAAGTTCTTTACATTCTGACCAAACATTTGTTTCTATTGCTTAAAAAAATTATACATAATTATATGTCTTCTATGTGGCAGGAAATAGTTTAGATCCTGTGGATACAGTAATGAGAAAAACATGTAACAATTCCTGCCTTCCTGGAGCTTACATTCTAGTCAGGGAAGCAGACAATGACCAAGATAAATAAGTAAAGAATAAAGTATATTAGGTAGTGATAACAACTAGAAAGAAAAAATATCTAGGGAATGGGGACAGGAACTGTGAGGGGACAAGGGATGCAGTTTTAAATGGAATAACCAGAGGAGACCTCTCCGAGAATTTGACACTTGAGTATAAAGAACTAGAGGAAGTAAGGAAGCAAGCCTTACTGATGGAATCACAGGTGCAAGGGCTTTGAGACAATTGTTTTCTGGAATATTCAAGGAACCACAGAGACACCATTATGGTTGGAAAAGAGTGAGCAAAGTGAAAGAGGTAATGGAAAGGCAGGGCACACTAAATAGGTCCTTATAGATCATTGTATAGATCAAGGGTCCTTATAGGGCCCCTCCTTTATTCTGGGTGAGATGAGAAGCCATTGAGTTCTCAGTAGAACAGTGACCTGGCTTACTTAAATTTGTTGATGTTTTGTTGAGAATAGACAGTAAGCAGGCAAGGGCAGAAGCAGAGAGACCAGTTAGGAGTCATTACAGTCATCTGGGTTTGAGATGATGATGGTTTGAACTGAGGTGATACAAGAGCCAGCTATATGGACTCACGGGCTATACCCTGCACTGGTCTAGGGAGCACTGTTCCCATCAACTAAAACATGAATTGTTCCCCCTGGGAGTTGTGCACTGCAGTGGTCATGAGGTGGGGTAAGAAAATGAATGTATTTTGAAGATAGAATTGACAAAATCACCTGACAGATTCAATGTGGGGTATGAAAGCAAAAGAGGAGTCAAAGATGATTCCAAGATTTTTGGCCTGAGCAGCCAGGAGACTGGTGTTGCCAATTTACTGAGATGAGGTAGATAGAAGTTTTGGGAGTCATATCCTAAGTTCAGTTTCTGACATGGAAAGACTGAGCTGCCCATTAGACGTCTAAGAGGAGAGATATTAGAGAGGCAACTGGGCTTCTGGGCCTAGAGTTTCGGGAGAATGTCCTCCTTAGAGATACAAATGTGGGAGTCATGAGCATTATAAATGACATTTAAAGCCAATACACTGGCTGAGATAACCAAGGGAGTGAATTTGGATAGAAAAGGCCTTCTCACAAGGCCTTGAGGCAGAGAATGGGGAGATGAGAAGCCAGCAGAAGAAACTTAAGAAGCAGCAGCCAGAAAACTAGAAGAAAAATGAGGTAAGTTTGCTATCTTAGAAGCCAAGTAAGCAAGGGTCTCAAAGAGGAAGGAGAATCAGATGATAGGTCAAGTAGAAGACTGCGAGTTCGACCATTGACATTAGCAAAATGTAGAGCTCCCTGGTGATCTTAGTAAAAACAGTGTTGGTAGGAAGATGGCAGCACGAGCCATTTTCAGGAGAAGATGGTAGGAGAGTAACTGAAGACAGTGAGTGAATGGCTTCACAGTGTTCTTGCTGGCCCACAGCACAGCCAAAGAGGAGAATATGGTGTAGACCTGGAAAAGCATCTTACAGATGTGGTGTCTTTACAGTGGGAACTATCTGGCTCCTTTCTCCCTCTGTCCTTTTGCCTCTTGAGGATATCATGATCAGCAGAGACTGAGAAACTACAGATAATTCAGAGCTCAGCAATCGGGGCAGTGAAGTATCAGTCTGGGCATCAGACTGCACTGCCTTACCTCAAATTATTGCCACAATTTCAACCTTTCCCTTTCCTTAAACCCCAAGCTCATACCTGTGCCCTTCCTTCTCTCCCAGAAGAAAACCTTATCTCTTCTTTTACTTTGAAGAGCTGAAATAACCAGCTTCTGTTTCAACTTCCCTCACTTCACTTCCAAATTTCTCTAGCTCTCTGCCTATTTTATTTTCTTTCCTGCTCAAATGACAAAGTAAGTTTCCTAAATTCTAAGACTAACCTCTAAGGTGAAAAGTATCTTTGGAAATTCTATTTTTAACATCCATCTCCCAGCCTACCTCACACAGGCATAAAAACATATTTACACATACACACTTCCTCTCTATTGGCTCATCTCCATTGGCTTAGGGAAAAAAAAGTCTATCTCCAAACTTCCGCTCTAGGGCAGAGTTTAATACTTTGAGTCAAAAATCACAACACATTCATGCATTTTATCCAATAATCCTCCTTCTGCTACTCTGTTCTAGGTGCATAATCCTTTTTTGTTTGTTTGTTTGTTTGAGATGGAGTTTCACTCTTATTGCCCACTGGAGTGCAATGACGCGATCTCAGCTCGCTGCAACCTCCCCCTCCTGGGTTCAAGCGATTCTCCTGCCTCAGCCTCCCGAGTAACTGGGTTTGCAGGTGCACACTACTACGCCCAGCTAATATTTGTATTTTAGTAGAGATGGGGTTTCACCATGTTGGCCAGGCTGGTCCCGAACTCCTGACCTCAATTGATCTGTCCGCCTCGGCTTCCCAAAGTGCTGAGATTACAGGCATGAGCCACCACACCCAGCCACTAGGTGTATAATCTTAAATATTGAAAAAACCATATGTATTAATTTGCTCACTGCAAGGCTATTTATAATCATGGAGAATTAGAAGCAATTTAAATGTTCAAAAGTAGAAGAGCAGACGAGTAACATTTATATGTCAACTCAATAAAATATTCTGCAATGATTCAAAATTATAGTTATGAAGATTATATAATAAAATAGAAAATATTTGACAAGTTATATTTTAAGTGCTTTGCATATATTCTCAATTTTAACCCTCCCAATAATCCATAGGTAGATATTGTTATTCCCATTCTAATCATGAGGAAAATTAGGCACAGGAGATTAAACAACTAGGTCACACATAAGTGGTGGAGCTGGGATTCCACTGTTCTGCCCTTCAATATAAAAATAGGTTATGAAGCATTATCTCCAGTGCATGCACATATATGTATGACATATTCATTCCTAGGAAAAAAGGCTAAAAGGATATATAGCTAAAAGTGATTGTATGATTGCATTATGGT